TGTGTGTGTGTGTGTGTGTGTGTGTGTGTGGCTTTCTTGTTTGTATTCAGCGGAGTCTTGAGCAGTCTGGAGGATTTGTTACTGATGTGGCAAAAGTGTGTTTGTCACCGATCAGCCTTAGCTCAGGTTCTAGGTAGGGGCTGGAGGTGATTTTTAAGTTGTCAGTCTTCTGCTCGGCGATATGCATCCCCCACTCCCCCCCCCCCACCCGTCAACAACTGATTGGAACCTGAATGACTACAAATTAGTTTAGTGACAGAACAAACTGTCACAGATATCTTTGAATCAGTTGAAAATGAATAAGGTTGACAGAAACTCAAGAGACTAATAAGTCCTCAGAATGGTTGCTGGACCCTCTCTGGATGAGTAGACAATAAGGTGTATAAAATATTGGAAATCAATATTTCGCTATGGAATTTCATTATGCACCAATGTCTTCAGTTCGTAGTATTTTATATTTTGATGGATTATCTGAAGACCATGGCTCTCTGAGATACCAGATTGATAGGAATTCCTCCACACCCTCAACATGTAATTATGAACGTTCTTAGGTGATATCGACTGGTTTTCGGGGGCAAGAGTTTTGAGTTTGGAAGACAGAAAACGATTGGTCACCCTCTTTCTTGTTTTGAAGTCGTGGGTGACCCTGTGCGTCCCGGCCCCCTTTCTAACGCTGCACCTTTTGATGTTTGCAGGAGACGCAGAGAAAGGTCAACCCAATCGCACCACAAAGAGCAAGGATGCCCACGTCTGTGGCCGGTGCTGTGCCGAGTTCTTTGAATTATCAGATCTTCTGCTCCACAAGAAGAACTGTACTAAAAATCAATTAGTTTTAATCGTCAATGAAAGCCCAGCCAGCCCACCTGAAACCTTCTCTCCCACCCCGCCTCCCGAGCATCCCGATGAACAAATGAATGACCCCATTCACAAAACAGATCAGGCCGACTGCAGCGACCTTTCGGAACACCGCGGCCGCCACAGGGAGGAGTCCATGGAGGTGGAGGCCCCGGGGGCTAACAAAGGTGGCGGTGGCGCTCCGGGGGGCGGCGGGGGTGGCCCCCCGCCGCCAGGCTGCAGCGGCGGCCCCTCCACAGGTACCTCAGCGATCACAACCTCTCTACCTCAACTCGGGGACCTGACGACACTGGGCAACTTCTCGGTGATCAACAGCAACGTCATCATCGAGAACCTGCAGAGCACCAAGGTGGCCGTGGCCCAGTTCTCCCAGGAAGCGAGGTGCAGCGGGGCCTCCGGGGGCAAGCTGGCCGTCCCCGCCCTCATGGAGCAGCTCCTGGCCCTGCAGCAGCAGCAGATCCACCAGCTGCAGCTCATCGAACAGATCCGTCACCAAATCCTGCTGTTGGCTTCTCAGAGCGCAGACTTGCCAACATCTTCAAGTCCTTCTCAAGGTACTTTACGGACATCTGCCAACCCCTTGTCCACACTCAGCTCCCATTTATCTCAGCAGCTGGCTGCAGCAGCTGGATTAGCACAGAGCCTCGCCAGCCAATCTGCCAGCATCAGCGGTGTGAAACAGCTCCCCCCCATCCAGCTACCTCAGAGCAGCTCTGGCCACACCATCGTTCCCCCCAACAGCGGCTCTTCCCCCAACATTAACATTCTGGCGGCAGCGGTTACCACCCCGGCCTCGGAAAAAGTGGCTTCGAGCGCTGGCGCTGCGCACGCCAGCCACCCGTCAGCCTCGGCAGCATCCTCACCAGCTTTTGCAATAAGCAGTTTATTGAGTCCTGCATCTAATCCACTTCTACCTCAGCCGGCCCCCGCTAACTCGGTTTTCCCCAGCCCTTTGCCCAACATCGGAACAACTGCGGAGGATTTAAACTCCTTGTCTGCCTTGGCCCAGCAAAGAAAAAGCAAGCCACCAAATGTCACCGCCTTCGAAGCGAAAAGCACGTCGGACGAGGCGTTCTTCAAACACAAGTGCAGGTTCTGCGCGAAGGTCTTCGGGAGCGACAGTGCCTTGCAGATCCACCTGCGCTCCCACACGGGAGAGAGGCCCTTCAAGTGCAACATCTGCGGGAACAGGTTCTCCACCAAGGGGAACCTCAAAGTCCACTTTCAGCGCCACAAAGAGAAATACCCTCATATCCAGATGAACCCCTATCCCGTGCCTGAGCATCTGGACAATATCCCCACGAGTACTGGCATCCCGTACGGCATGTCCATTCCTCCGGAAAAGCCGGTCACCAGCTGGCTAGACACCAAACCGGTCCTACCCACTCTGACCACTTCAGTCGGCCTGCCATTGCCCCCGACCCTCCCGAGCCTCACACCCTTCATCAAGACCGAAGAGCCAGCCCCGATCCCCATCAGCCATTCCGCCACCAGCCCCCCAGGCTCCGTCACAAGCGACTCCGGGGCCCCTGAGCCAGCCACGAGAAACCTGGGTGGGCTCGCGGACGAAGCCGAAGGGTCCGCCGGGCCGCCCTCCGGTGGCAAAAGCGAAGAGAGAGGCGTGGCCCCCGGCTCGGCCCCGGCGGCCAGTGGCGGCGCTCTGAGCTCCCCGGCGGCCGACGGCGGCTCGGGCAGTGCCGCGGCTTTCACCAACCCCTTGCTGCCGCTCATGTCCGAGCAGTTCAAGGCGAAGTTTCCTTTTGGGGGACTGTTGGACTCGGCCCAGGCGTCGGAGACCTCCAAGCTTCAGCAGCTGGTAGAGAACATTGACAAGAAGGCCGCCGACCCCAATGAGTGTATCATCTGCCACCGGGTCCTCAGTTGCCAGAGCGCTTTGAAGATGCACTACCGGACGCACACTGGGGAGAGGCCCTTCAAGTGTAAGATCTGCGGCCGGGCCTTCACCACGAAAGGGAACCTTAAGACCCATTACAGTGTCCATCGGGCTATGCCCCCGCTCCGCGTCCAGCATTCCTGCCCCATCTGCCAGAAGAAGTTCACCAACGCTGTGGTCCTGCAGCAGCACATTCGAATGCATATGGGCGGTCAGATCCCCAACACCCCGGTCCCTGACAGCTACCCCGAGTCCATGGAGTCGGACACGGGCTCCTTTGACGAGAAGAATTTCGACGAGCTGGACACCTTCTCCGATGAAAACATGGAGGACTGTCCCGAGGGCAGCATCCCCGATACGCCCAAGTCCGCGGATGCGTCCCAAGACAGCTTATCTTCTTCGCCTTTGCCCCTGGAGATGTCAAGCATCGCTGCTTTGGAAAATCAGATGAAGATGATCAACGCGGGCCTCGCAGAACAGCTGCAGGCCAGCCTGAAGTCTGTGGAGAACGGGTCCGTCGAGGGGGACGTCCTGACCAACGACTCGTCCTCGGTGGGTGGTGATATGGAGAGCCAAAGTGCTGGCAGCCCAGCCATCTCAGAGTCTACCTCTTCTATGCAGGCTCTGTCCCCACCCAGCAGCACCCAGGAGCTCCACAAGTCCCCCAGCGTGGAGGAGAAGCCCCAGAGAGCAGCACCCAGCGAGTTCGCCAACGGTCTGTCTCCCACCCCCGTCAACGGTGGGGCTTTGGATCTGACGTCCAGCCACGCAGAGAAGATCATCAAGGAAGATTCTTTGGGGATCCTCTTCCCTTTCAGAGACCGGGGTAAATTTAAAAATACTGCTTGCGACATTTGTGGCAAAACCTTTGCTTGTCAGAGTGCCTTGGACATTCACTACAGAAGTCATACCAAAGAGAGACCATTTATTTGCACAGTTTGCAATCGCGGCTTTTCCACAAAGGGTAATCTGAAGCAGCACATGTTGACACATCAGATGCGGGACCTTCCATCACAGCTCTTTGAGCCCAGTTCCAACCTCGGCCCCAATCAGACCTCGGCGGTGATCCCCGCCAACTCATTGTCATCTCTCATCAAAACAGAGGTCAACGGCTTCGTACATGTCACTCCTCAGGACAGCAAGGACACCTCCACCAGTCACGTCCCCTCTGGGCCTCTGTCCTCCTCTGCCACGTCCCCAGTCCTGCTCCCAGCTCTGCCCAGGAGGACCCCCAAGCAGCACTACTGCAACACGTGTGGTAAAACCTTCTCCTCGTCGAGCGCCCTGCAGATCCACGAGCGAACTCACACTGGAGAGAAACCCTTTGCTTGCACTATTTGTGGGAGAGCTTTCACAACAAAAGGCAATCTGAAGGTACCTCGCTCTGTCTGTCCCTCACCCACCCACCCAGCAGCCCTCTTGCTGGTTTGCCATTGATTATCTGTGATGCATGCTCCCAGGGCCAGCAGCTCCCCAGAGGCAGGATGTGCAGGGAGCGAGTTCTCGCGAGGGCACCTGCCACGTGGGGCTGACAGCGGAGAAACGCGGGTGCCCCGTGTGTGGGTCAGGATCGGGGGGGGGGGGGCAGGCTGCAGCCCGTCGAGCGTGAGCGCCTGGAATCATTTGGTCCACCTCAGCGAAGCAGCAGCCCCCAGCCCCACTGTCTCGCTAAGTGCACCAAATGAATTGTCTTACCTACCCAGGAAGACAGCCCGGCGTTGCCATGGGGGTATTGATTAAAGACCTCCACGTGGCCTGTGTGCAGCCCGTATCACTTAATAATTACCGTCCTCCTCGGCGGATGCATCTATTTTTCATAACCGTGCAGTCCAGCACGTTGCTCGCGTCCCCAGAAACAATAACATCACACTGCCCTGCTAATGGGTATGATGATAATTGATTATACAACACTTCCCGCTGATATGTGTTGGAAATAAAGCAAATATGCTTAGGTTCTAGAGCAACAGTTGAGTGTTCTTACTGTGTACATTTTTCTGTTGACAGAGTATTTCTCTAGAGATTGCTGCCAGTAATGCGAGGTGAATAATTACTTTCTGGCTCTCCTCTCTGTGCACGGGCCCTCCACCGGGCAATCTGTGAGGGGTACTTTCTTCCCATCTGAAAAGGACATTTATAGGGTAAAGGGTGTCAGATACACTACTCACCATTGCAATGAGAGTGGACATAACAATTCTAACCCTGAAAGGAGCTATCTGCGACTGACTAGCTTGCTTGAGGCCATTATAAGCTAAATAGGGGTAATAAAAAAAGAGTAAGTAAGGCAGGCATCTTGGCCCCGGAAGAGGGACGGCGGCCCAGGGCTGGGGAGAGTGCGCACGTTATTAGGAGGCAGCCGCAGTGGACGGTTCCCTATCCTTCTCCACCGCCTGGCACTTAGTAAGAGTAGACATGTAGGCCACTTGCTCTGTCGAGTGTTGGGGTATGAGCGGAGACAGATTCAACTATTAAGCTTCTCCCTTCCTCTCTCTCCCTTTCCCTTTCTTTCTTTCTTTCTTTCCCCCTTTTCCCCTCCCCACCCCCTTTGCCTCATCTCAGGTACACATGGGCACTCACATGTGGAATAGCACCCCTGCGCGGCGGGGCCGGCGGCTCTCCGTGGATGGCCCCATGACATTTCTAGGAGGCAATCCTGTCAAGTTCCCAGAAATGTTCCAGAAGGATTTGGCGGCAAGGTCAGGAAGCGGGGATCCTTCGGGGTTCTGGAATCAGTATGCAGCGGCGCTCTCCAACGGGCTGGCCATGAAGGCCAATGAGATCTCCGTCATTCAGAACGGGGGCATCCCTCCAATTGCTGGAAGCCTGGGCAGCGGGAGCAGCTCACCTATTAGCGGGCTGACGGGAAATCTGGAGAAGCTCCAGAACTCCGAGCCCAGCGCCCCCCTGGCCGGGCTGCAGAAAATGGCCAGCAGCGAGAACGGAACCAACTTCCGGTTCACCCGCTTCGTGGAGGACAGCAAAGAGATTGTCACAAGTTAAAGCGACTCTGGCTCAGAACGAGAGACCCACGGTTGCCTCCCCCTCCCCTCCTGGTTCCCCCAGATCGATGAACTACAACATTATGGAGACATTCTTTTTGTACCTTGTTCAACTTCTAGAGTTATAAGAAAGCTTATTTATTAGTGATATAACCTGGCTTTGCAAACAATGCAAGCGTTAACTTTGGTCTTCTGTATTTTGGACTAAATACTAATTGACTAGAGTGCTGTAAATTTGCTGTAACATTTATGGCAATCGCAAGTTGCCCTGCTAGGCGGTCTTAATCTGGCATTAACTTATTTTCTATATCCGGTTTAATATGAATTCTGGTGTTGATGCAATGCCTCAGTGATGCATTAGATCTCTAATAAAGTCTGTATATAAATGTACACTTTGATCCTGCTGGAAAAATTTTATCAGCAAACACGTTGTCTAATCTTTCAAAACAAATTTAAGCGAAGGACTGAAAGTACAGACTGATCAATGTGGTTCTTTGAAAGGTTTGGGTTTTTTTGTTTTGTTTTGTTTTTTTTATTTTTATTGGAAAATTCAACCTGCTTTTTTTTTTTTTTTGTAGATTTAACCATTTCCGTTTTGAACTGCTATTTGTATTGTGCTTTTTACTTGAGTCGTCCTCAATGTTGATAAGTTTCTGTACAGTAATAAGCACGCAGAATTCTTTAGAGAAAATACAAGTGTTGTTTTGGTAGTTGAAACTGAGACGTAACATTTTGCCTTGTAGGTATATTCACAATAGAAAATGTGTGCTGGAATTACACAATGCTGCTAAGTATGGCATCTTGAACAACCATCAGTGGAGAAAATGTAGATGCTCTTGTATATACGATAAGAAATATCACTTTCATTAAAATGTACATATGTTCCTTACAAGAGCAAATGCTTCTTCTTGATCAAGAGAGCAGGTATAGTGTTTGTTTATTTTGTATTAGGTATGGAACAAAAAAAAAATTGGACTGTTACATGCACTTTCTTGGAAAGTTGAAAGGAAAGGGGGGGGGTCCAATTTCTTTAACATTTAATACTTACTAACAACAGAGATACTGTAATTTTACCCAAGTAATCAAATACATTTTTTTTTTGCAACAGATAAAACAAAATACCGTGTCTGTGTTTTTAGAGTGCATTTCTATTTAGCCAGGCCCCGAAATGTATTTTAACATTTCCCCAGGCACCAGTAAAGCCTATATGAGTGTGTATCTCTCTCTCTCTCAATAAGGAATTGCAAAAGGCGTAACAGAAACAGGTTTGCATGGGACTGTGGGTTTGTTTTTCTTTTTTCCTTCTTTTTCTTCCTCTTTTTCTTTCATTTTTGTCTTTTCTCTTTTTAATTTAGAGGATCTAGATATTTGGCCAGATAGCTATGACTGGTCTGGGCACTCTGCTCACATCCCCACCCCCAAGAAGGAGGAAAAATGAAAGGAAATAAAAAGCTGTTATTGGAGGTTTCATCTGGACGGGTCATCCCTGAAGCAGGACATTGGCCCATTTAGATTTCAGGTTTATTTCAACTGTGCTCATTTTCTCTTCTCTTGATTCAGTGGCTTTTCTCAGACAGAGAAAGCAGCATGGCTAGAGAATGCCCCATGCAGGGGGGGGGAATATATAATCTGACTCTGAAACTAGGCCTCAACCCAGAGAGGTCAACGTGTTCTTTAATTAGGCTTTCAGGCATTGAAACACACATGCATATCTGAGAAGAGAAACTCCATTACAACTTGAATATTTTGTCATCAAAATTCAATCTGATTCTTCCTCTCTCCCTTTTGTTCTAGGGGAAACATGTTTTCCTCCTGAGCACTATTTTGGGGTGAGCAAACGGACAGGGTGGAAGTTGGTGTCTTCAGGGGTCCGGCGATTTGTTTCTTTCAGGGAGGTAGGTGGTGAGCCCGTGGCCCGTGACCCTGCACCCAGGTAAGGGACAAGCATCGGCCGCCTCCCAGTAGAAGTTTGCACCGGGGCGCAGGCCACCCTATGGCCACCCCGGGACGCGCCTCCCCAAGCTGGGTGGCTCAGCCTGGGGGGCCAGGCCAGGACAAGGCGGGGGCAAGCACCCCCAAACCAGGAGAAGTGTGGGGAGGGGGGCTGTGCACGCAGCGTCGGGGTGCAGAGGAGCTCCGCGACACTTCAGCGCGCAAGCATTGGGGGATTGAGCCTCTGCAGTCCCGGCCACGCGCCCCAAGACAGCCGCCTTTGCTCAAGAGTGGGGACACGGAGGCAAGGCCGCAGTTCTGGCCAGAAGCTCTTATTCTACGCGGGCCAAAAAGAGGACGTTTCCGTGGCGTTCGGGGCGTCTCTCCCCTTCCCACGGCTGGGCGCGGCGAGGAGGGGGCGCCCCGGGCCGCGTGGCCTCGGGGTCAGGGCACTCCTTCCGGAAGCGGCCCCTGCGCCCCGGGACAGGCTGGGGGGGTCCGCGCCGCGGG